TGTTTTGTGGCTTCTTATTTTTGTTTTTGTTTTTAAAATTTTTAAAATTTTAGGATAAAATTAACAAGTTTTATAAATTAATTATTCATTCTTAGCAAAATTTTATTGTGCATACCTAAATTTTTTCTGGTGTCTCAGTTTTGTCCCTAATGCTCATTTGTCACAATTCAATCCCCCATGGGTACACAAAACTCGCTCTGAAGGGGCAATTTCTTAGGGATGAACATAATCCAATCCCTGTTGGTGGTTGTGGCTATACTGCTTAGGACATTTTGTTTAATTAGTTGATTGTCCCCTTCCTCCCCTCCCCCTAAAAAAAAAAAGAAAAAAGAAAAAAAAAAGCAAAAATCTTCCAAGTTATATGGTTATATTGTTGTTCTTACCTTGAATTCAAAATGTTAAGCTCCGAAATGACTTATTTTTTTATTTAACCAAAATATATTGGAGAGTGATGGAAGATGGCGGTTGGACTTTTCTATCCTTCCTGAGTTCTGATATCCAAGGCCCAACAAAATGGTTCTTTCGAAAATGTGTGACAAATGAAACTTTACAGACAATATAGAAGCATTATAAAAAGGTTACGGACAAGGAGTTAACTTCTTTTATAATATGTTTAAGTTGAAGGAATAGAGGAGAAGAAATGATTTTTGATCAATCAAATTACAATATTTAAAAAACATTATAATTTAATTAGTTAAAAAATTATTTTCTCCTCTCCTCTCCGCTCCCCTCCCCGTAATTCAAATATATGGTTAGTTTCTTTTTTTAATGTAAGGGCGCTTGTAGTGACATGAGAAGTGCCGAATTAGCTCAGAAACTACATTTGATGTAATAAACTTTGGAAATTCATCATAACAAGGCTGTTTCTAACTTTCTAGTCATTAGTATTACTAGAAGGCATTGGACTCCGCATACCACGTTTTCTCAGAAACCAGGGATAAGAAAAATGGGAAATTGTTTACACAGGTTGGTCTAATTCTGAACCATCTTTGTCAGAAGAATAAATTTCCACTTTCCATTGGCTTGACTTTCATGTAACAGAAATTACAAGGGAATTGAAGATGGAAATAATGGAAGAGAATCCCAACCAAAAGTTTCAAGTCATCTAGTTAAGTAATCATCAAGAATGTTCTCGAGTTTTAACCAAAATTCAAGACAACATTAACAATACGGCATAGAAGTCATGTTTCGTATTATAAATTAGTCATTCTTTCTCTTCTGTCATTGAATGTTACATCAAAAGGTTGGATTATGGATCTTATTAAAAAAAGTATGCAAAGACCAATTATGGTAGTCTTTTTGGTCCCCCAAATAGGCAATTTCATGGCTTACTTACTGACAAAAAAATATAGCCAATTAAAAACGTCTTTAATCTTCATTGATGGATACAAAGTCTCGGATTTGAATTTTGAAACCGGACTGAAGTCCCAATCAAGCTTAATTTTTGCAATCAAAATAAATTTCATCGGACATCAATTGAGTCCAGCTAAATACCAATAATTTGAAACTGGAGAGACAAGTGCTCAGGAAAAGAACAGTTGGAAGGATCTAGGAAGCATCATTGAGACTTGGGATTAATTCCTTGTAAAATTAATTTGAAAAGTTTATGTACTAAGTTCAAATTAATCAATTCTTTGAGTGCCACATCATATAAATTCGCACAAAACCAAACGGATAAAACATCCGCTAGTATTAGCAACATGGAATTGCACGTTGGCGATATAAATTTTCATTGACGAAGCCCATGTTGCTGATACTTAAATAGTACTCACTCCCCCAAAAAGTGTTCTTCACTTTCAGCAACAAGCACTATGTTGCTAAAATTTTCCGGTTGCCCATGCCCCTGCTAATTGGCCTGCAATTTATGGTGTGGATTTTCACTGTATGTTGTTGATACTTAAAAGTGATCTTCATTTTCAGCAACATGGTTCTTGTTGTTGAAAGTGAATTTCAGCAACAAGAACCATGTTGCTAAAATTTTTAGATAGACTAGCAGCCACCCTCTTCCTAACTAATAATTAGCAACATGGGTAATATGGTAATTAGAGTGAGATTTACCAACAAATGGATGATTTGGCAACCTCTATATATAATCCACATTTTCACATGTAAAATTGAAAAATTGAAGAAGTTAATTTCAAACTTGGTCATCTAGGTAAATAATTAAATAATTAAATAAAACAATTAGTTATACCATATATAATTAAATAATTATCATTTTACAATGTTAATTAAATTTAAATTTTAAGGAAAATTAACAAGTTGGTAATGAAAAAATAAAGTTTAAGGACAAATTTGATAATTTAATAAGTTTAAGGATGAACTTAATCTAAAACTGAAAGTTCAGGGACCAAATTAAGTATTTAACGTTACTGAAAGTTAAATTTACTTTTTGAGGGGATTGAACATCAGCAAGACGAGCCTTGTCGGTGAAAATCTAGATCACCGACAAGGCTCACCTTGCCGATAGGTAATTGCTATAAAAAAGAATTTTAATAGTGGAATATTAATGGTTAAGTATGTAAATTAAAAATTTTATTTTTTAATTCATAAATTAAATGAATTTAAATGAAATTAATTTTAATCACTTCATCTTATTCATTCCTTCTTCTCATTCTTATCCTCCTCCTCCTCTTCCTCCTCCTCCTCCTTGGCATCCTACTCGCCATTATCTTCATCATCCCTCTTCAAATTAAAGTTTCCTGGGTTCTCCGTGGAACCTAGTTTCTGGGTTTCACAGAGAACCCAGCTAGGTTCCTCGTGCAACCCAGATCTGGGTTCCTCGTGCGTTTCTAGGTTCCACGTACAGTTTTTTCGATCGAGTTAGTTAAAATCTAGAAGAATTAATTTTCCAGCCTTGGTTGTTCTTGATTTGATGTTTGGTTTGGGTGTTCTCAGTTTTGAATCTGCAATGGAAGTGTTCTAATCTTGAATATCTAATTCAACTTTTCTTTGAAAATAATCAAAATGTTAATTTGTTATACTTGGACTTGAATCTCTTCTTTATGAGTTAGTAATCTCGCGATGAACTACTCGATTTCATGTTTCAATGTTTTCAACGTAGAAATTCAAATCTTAAATGTTCCAATCTTTTGTCTAATATAACTTGTCTTTGAAATTTTAAGACTCAAATTGTTATACTGGAAGGAGTTGAATCTCTGCTTTACGCGTTATTAATCTCATGAAGAACAGGTGAGATATTCAGAAGAAGATTTTGCATTGCTTAATTTAGTAATTGTCCATGTTGATC